GTCCAGGGCCCCTGACACACACCCCGCGTCCGCCCTGCCTGCGCTGCGGGCGGCGAGGGGAACTCCGGGAACCCCCCCTCTTTGGCCTTCATGGCTCCGGCCAGCGGCTGGCAGCTGTGACTTACTGCCCCATTTTGCCTAGGAGGCGGGCGAGCCCAGGAGAAGGGAAATGGCTTATCCAAGATCGTGAGGGATGGGGGCCCAGGTGCGGGGCCTTCTCCCGGTTCCTCCCCCAGGCCCACACGTGTGAACTCGGGCCACCCCAGAGGCCAGGATGCGGGTGGGTCCCTAGGATGTTCCAGGCCCTGGGCAGGCTCAGTCATGGCCCCATGCCAGAGCTGGGAGCCAGGGCCTGGCCATGGGGAAGATGAGTTAATTAAGGTTTGGGCCTTCAGGGGGGACGCCCTACCTTCCCACTGGTCCTTCCCACTGCTCTTGGCACCAGCTGGGCACAGCCCATCCCCCTTTCCGTGGCCTTCCCAGATCAACCTGTTCTGGGTGTGGGTCTTGGTGACAGCTGTCCGTCTCCTGGTTCCGCCCTAGCCTGTCTCTCCCCATGTCTTTCCCTACACCCTCCCATTGCAGAGCTCACTCTGAGGCCCACTTACCCCCAAGGATCTGCTTGAGAAAGAGAGGGGATGAGTGGGGAGAAACCCAGATCTGCCCCAGTCCCTCACATCCCAGGTTATGAGGCCACAGAGGACTCCACTTTGGGAGTTTTGGGGTTTGAATCCAGGCTCCACCAGAATGTGGATGAATTATCTAAGCTTCTGTCTACACCTCTGTAAAATATGGCATTTGTTCATTTATTTATCCATTTCACAAATGTCCAGGAGGCATCCACTAAAGGCCAGGACAGTGCTGGGGTGATTGGGGTCCCAGTACCTTCCTCACAAGGTTTCTTGAGAGAAACTGACTACAGAATTCTTCCCACTGTGTCTGGAACACAGTACACGCTACGTGGATCTCGCTATGCTGCTGCTGTGATTGGTGTTTTTTTTTTTTATTAATAATTACATTCATCCATCCTGGCCAGGGGACAGAACCGAAATTAATATTCCATTTTGCAGAAAGACAAGTGAGGTCCCCTGAGGAGGTGCCCTGACTCACCCACTTCTATTCTCACTGACCCAGCTCCCTGTGTTGTGTGACATCCTCTCTGAGGTTCAAGTTCAATCTGCCCCCCACCCATTTTTCTCTGCACAAAGGGGGATTGAGGAAGGTGGGACACCCTGAGAAGGAAGTGGGGAGCAGAGCGCTGCTTGGTTCATGAACTCTGGGACTCTTCACTGATGCCTGTTGAGTGTTGGGCCAGTGCCAGGCACTCAGCATAGAGAGGATGGGGATGGACTCCGGAGAGAGGGGGATGGGCTTGAAACCAGATCTTTGCACTTAGAGTGACAAAGTCTGTGATATAGAGGCGGTTAGCGCAGGGGCCCAGGGGAGGAAATCCCTGAAATCTTCCAGGGAGAAGAGGAGAAGGGAAGGCTCCTAAGAGGAGGGAGCATTTGAACTTTGAAGGGTGTGTAGGAGTTTGCCAGGGGGGAGAAGACCACGCACAGACCTGGGTGTGGACCAACAGGGAGTTCTCCGAGAAGATTGTGCAGGTCCTCATGGTGGCCGGGAGAGCAGGGAGTTGAGGGAGGCTGGGGAGACTCAGGAGGCCCTCTCAGGCTGTGGATGGGGATCCAAGGGCACTGGGGAGCCACAGAAGGTGTTTGAGGACTGACAAGATGAGATCAGATCGTGCAGTTGCCTGGGGGGAATAGTGGCTGGAGGGAGGGAGTCCTGGTGACCCCAGGGCACAGGTGTGAGGATGCTGGGCAGGAATGCAGCGGGGGAGGCGCTCTGCAGAATTCTAGCTCAGAGATAAGAAAGGGTACCATCTTTCAGTGAGTTTGGGAAGCACCACGTGCAGTCCCTCATGCCTCCAGGACATCTGTGTGATGCATAGGGAACTAGGGTCCCGTCTGGCACCAGCGCCACCATTTACTAGCTGTGTAATCTTGGCCAAGTTATCTTAGCTCTCTGGGCCTTGGTTTTCTCATCTGTACAATGGATAAGAATACATCACGTAAGGAGCCAATGACAAATGCGTGTGCGAGGTGTAGGGGTGTCACGAGAGCTGGCTGTGCTTTAGCCATGCTGCCCAGTACGGTAACCACGCGGGCTACATGGCTGGTCTGAACTTTGAGGAGCTGTAAATGTAGAATACACAGTGGCTTCTGAAGGCTTGGTACAAAAAAGAAAATGTAGAATAGCTTGTTAATAATGTTTTTATATTGGTTGCATGTTGAAATGATAATATCTTGGATACACACTGGGTTAAAGATATTGCTAAGTTAATGTTTGTACTTTTTTTTTAATGGGGCTACTAGAAAATTTTAAACAGTCTGTGGCTCGCATTGTATTTCTATCAGACAGTACTGGCCGACAATAGCAGGTGCTCAGTATACGTTTTACAGTGGAGAGCGGTGGATGGCAACTGAGGATGAGTTGCCTCTTAGGGGACATTTGGCAGTGTCTGGAGACATTTTTGGTTGTCACTGCTTGGGAGGAGGGGGCTTAGCATCTAGTGAGGAGAGACCAGAGATTCTGCTAAACATCTTACAGCGCACAGGGCAGCACTCCCCCTCCACCCCACCCCACCAATTCCCTGTACCCCCAGCCCCACTGAACACAAAATTATCCAGCCCCGGTCGTCACTTGCGCCGAGGCAGAGACATCCTCGTACAAGTCAGTATTTGATAAACATTAGCTATCGGTAGCTCTAACTCAAGTTGTTGCCTCCAAGGCCCTGACAAGTCCTGCAGGAAAGAGACTTGTTTAATTTTGCTGATGGGAGCAGGAAATGACCAGGGGCTGGAGAGAGAGGGAGGGAGGAGTGTTTGGCTTCAGGGGATGCCAGAAGTTGAAACCAGCTGACTGACTGGATGCTGGAGTGGGGAGAGTGAAGGATGGCGATCTCTCCCAGGCAATGGGGACAGAGAGAGAAAGAGCAGGTCTGGGGCAAGATGCTCAGGATTATGGGTGATGCACAAAGGGCAGTGGGACACACTGCCTGGGCTGCAGCAGGTGGCAGCGCTCAGATGGCCATGGAAGCCATCACAGTGGCAGGGGGCCTGTCTACTGACAAGGCTGCTGGGACAGTGCTGTCAGGAGCCTGGCATTGAAGAGGCATATGGGGTGGAGGCCCAGCTTGAGTGGTGGGAGAGAGAAAACGATGGGATGCTGGGAGACGCCAGGGGGAGGAAGGCTTCCAGAAGAAGGAGGTGCTCGGCTGGGAGCCCAGGGGAGATAGTGGGCATTGGAAGGCCCCAGCTGGCCTTGGGGAAGCTGGAGCTAGGAGGTCAGGGGCAGATCAGGGAGGTTGGGGTGGGGGTAGGGTGGCAGGACAGGGAACCTGCAGAACTCTTCTTTCTGAGCTGAGAGGGGCAGCAAGACCAACTATACTCAGGGGATGGGAATTCTGTGGAAACGTCACGTGTGATATTAGGGGGTGGGGAAAGAGTGGGAGGGGGCAGGCAGGGGCTGAAGGCAAGGATGCCTGGGTCATTGTAGGTGAGGGCATGGGCCTCTGAGGAGCATTGCTGTGAAGACAGACACCTGAGAAAGGCTTGGCACGTCATGTTCAAATATTTTTAAGCAACACACTCAGACCCCAGTATACAAAGCAGCAACACATGAAGGCAGACTCACCCACACTGGCCTCAGTCACCTCCTCCTCTGCGTCCCGGATCTTCCTTCTGCCCAGATCAGCTTGTTCTGATCTTTCTCCTCCCCACCCTTGGGTCCTACTTGGTTGGGGCTCTGCCCCCGCCGCCCCCTCCTTCCCTCCACATGGGGCCTCCTCAGGCCTCTTCCTGCCCTGTCGCTCTGTTTCAGGTGAGGGAGGAGGCAGGGTTTTCGTGGTTGCCTCTAAGCCCAGCCCCTCCTGTACCCCCGTCTTTCCCCTCACATGGGCGGAGCCCTGGTGCTTCTCTCCCCCCACCCCTGCTCCCTTCAGGCACCAGGTTCAGATCCCCCCCAAGATGTCTGCAATCTGTCCACCTCCCCCATTCCATGCCCTGATAGCCAGCTCCCCACTGCACAGTTCATCCCACCCCAGCGTCCAGGCTGAGAGAGGGTATAGTCTGCTTAAGGCCTGGGTTTGAATCCCAGTCCCAGCGTTGAGCTGTTTGGCCTTAAGCAGGTTACTTTCCTTCTTAGTGCCTAGGTTTCCTCATCTGTAAAGCCAAGGTACCGCTTGTGCCCAGGCTGCTTCTTCCTAGGGCCGTTGTATGGCAAACCGGCTCCCCGTGAGTGGTGTGGGGCACCCTAGGGGACGGATTGAGCGGTATTGTCTTTGTTACAGTCCTGAGGTGAGGGGAGAGGGGTGGGGACAAGGGCCCGCCCATCTGGCCTCCGTGCCCCGTCCCCTCCGGGTCCGGGAGCCCGCCATCTCCCCGCAGCGTCGTGCTCTCCCAGCTGCTCGCCTTAGTGTGCAGAGCCCCCCCCCCCCGAACACCGGCACCCCTCCCTCAGGTAGACTCCCCTACTAGCCCGTCCTGCTCCCCTCCCCTTAACTGAGGCCTGTGAGATGGTGTGTGTGGAGGAGGGTTGTGCCGGTGGCCCTGACCCTCCGTTACCCGCAGAGCATGTGCCCTCGGAGCTGTGGGAGCCCTTCTACACCGACCAGTACGCGCAGGAGCACGTGAAGCCCCCGGTGACGCGGCTGCTGCTCTCGGCCGAGCTGTACTGCCGGGCCTGGCGCCAGGCGCTGCCGCAGCTCGAAACACCCCCAGCCCCTCTGCGCTGCTGGCCCTGCTGGCTCGGAGGGGCACGGTGCCCGCGCTGCCCGAGCGCCCTGTGCAGGAGGCCGACCTGAGGCACCAGCCTATCCTCATGGTAGGCCCCGCCCCTGCCCACTCAGCCCCGCCCACCAGGTCTGGCCCCTCCCTCCAAGCCTGGTTCTGCCCCGAAGGTGGTACTTCGGACCCCAGGTCTTGCCTACATGGTCCATCAGGTCGCAAGGCCTAGTTTGTGACTTCAAAGCCTGGCCATTCCACTGCGAGCCCCTCCTAGCTCCGGGTTCTTGGGAGGCGGAGGGGAGCCTCCAGCCCCATCTCCGGTCTCACCCTTCAGCCCTTGCCCCCACAGGGAGCCCACCTAGCTGTCATTGATGCCCTCATGGTTGCCTTCGCCTTCGAGTGGACAAAGACACTGCCTGGTCCCTTGGCCCTGGCCAGCTTGGAGCACAAGCTCCTTTTCTGGGTGGACACGGTAGGTAGGGTTGGGCGAGACAGGCCAGCAGAGGGGGGAGGCCAGGATCGCCCAGACATTGAAGCACTGACCTCTGCCTGCTCCGCAGACCATCCGGCGGCTGCAGGAGAAGACAGAGCAGGAAGCTGCCCAGAGAGCATCCCCCGCGGCCCCTGCAGATGGGGTGGCCCCAGCCCAGCCCTCGGTGAGGCTGGGGCAATGGATGGGCAGAAAGAAGGACAGACCCTCGAGGGCTGGGTGACAGGGTGGGGCTGCACCTCGAGGCCATTCCTGCACTGGGGGCTGGAGGTGACTCTGTCTCTCTCTCTCTGTGCCCTTTCCCCTCTGCCCGCTCCCGCCACTCTCCCTCTGTCTCTGTGGCATCAGTGCCCCACACGCTGGTACTGGAAGCTGGTTCCTGTAAGTGGGGCCATCTCTCTGCCCCGTCTGCCTGCCCTGCTGGTCGCTCTGTCTGTCTGTGTGTCTGTTTCTGCCTGCCTGTCCTGCGCCCTCTCCTACCTCCCCTCAGATGTGAGCAAAGGAAGTGGGACCCCAGCCCTGAGGGGCAGAGAGAAACCCTCTGGGGACCACAGGAAAAGGGGAATGTGCTGCTAACCAAGAGGACAGACTTCTCTGCGGTTACCTGACAGGGATGACCCTCCCCTCCCGTGAATCAGGAAGGCAGAACACCCTCAGCTTGTCCACCTCAGCTGAGGTGAGGAGACCTCTGCTGCTTCTGAAGGGAGGTCCCCAGCCCACCAGACACATGGATCTTGAGCCCACCAGGCAGGGCACATGGAGAAGATCCTGCTAGCCAAAAGGAAGACCTTCAAACCCAAAAGAGGGTAGAACCTTCCAGAGACTCCAGCTTCCCTAAAAACAGCTCCCAGCTCCCAGATTTGGGGGGAGGGGATGTCCATCCCTGATGTGCAGTGATGGGGGTGCCCACTGCAGGTGGGGTGAGACTTTGGGCTGAAGTCCCTGCCTTTGCTCACTTCAGAGTCTCCTCCCCCAACCGTGGGGGCCTGGGATGGGGGTTCTTCTCCTTTGCCTACCTGCTTCCTCTGCATCCCCTTCCCCAGCTGGGGCCTGGGTCTTTTGGGGGGAGAGGAATCCCTGCATGAGAGGCTGCTCTGTGGGGTCCCTCCGGGCTGGGAGGAGCTGGGGTCCCCAAAGCCGGCCAGAGCCCAGTCGGAGCTGGATGGCCAGGGCTCAGGATGGGGTCAGGGCTCTCTCCCCCTGGAGGTGCGCTTGGGGGCCCAGCAAGTCAGCACCCCTCCTGCCCTGCTGACGGCTGCTCCTCTCCCCCCCCAGCACGCAATTGCCTTCTGTTTGAAGGAGTCGGGGAGCAAACCCCCCATGGTAACGTATCCCCTGCCCCAGGGTCCCAGGAGTCCCTGCCCTCAGCCCCTGCTGCTGGCCTGGCTGCTCGCAGACACCTCCTCTGCCTCTTGCTGCTGCCCTTCCCCTGCTCCAGGCTGGCCCCCCACTCTGGCTCTGGGACCCCCTGGCTTCACGCCCCCTCATGGCGGAAACCCCAGGCCTCCCCATCCAGCCTGCATGACTGCTGACCTGGAGGCCAGCCTGACCCCTGACCTGACCCAACTCCCACCCACAGATCCGATATCGCAAGGACCGGGCCGTGGCCCGACGTGCCCCCTGCTTTCCGACCGTGACCAGCCTCCAGGACCTGGCAAGTGGGGCTGCGCTGGCCGCCACAATCCACTGCTACTGTCCCCAGCTCTTACGACTCGAGGGTGAGTGAATGGGCCTGAGCCAGCCCCTGTCCTAGGCGTTGGCCTCTGTCCCTGGAGTAGTGCAGTGATTATGAGTACAGTTCCCAGAATTGGCAGACCTGGGTTTGAACCTCTCTTCCTCTAATTAGCTGTGTGACCTTGCACAAGTGTCTAAACCTCTCTGTGCTTCATACAATTCATTCCTGCAGCAAGTATCGATAGCGTGAGAACTGTGTGCCAGATCCTGTTTTAGGCAGCAGAGGTCCAGCCAGAACAATACAGACATGCTCCTGACCTCAGGCTACTCACGGCCTAGCTGGGCAAGAAAGACAATAAATTCATCTAGAGGAGAGTTCTGGATGTTGGGTGGGCAAGAAAAGCTTATGGAGTTGAGTTCTTTGGAGATTAGCGCTCCAGGCGGTGGGACGAACAGACGCAGAGGCTTGAGGAACGCCCTCTCACAGTGGCCACCTTGTGAAAGGGGCCCAGCACGAGGCCCTGCTCTTAAGCAGTCCTCCACAGGTGCTGGCTGCTGGGCCCTCGCTTCCCCGGGGCCCCGTCCTCCTTCCCTTAGAGTCGGGGACCCAGGCATCCTGTCCCTACAGAGGTGTGCCTCAAGGACCCCATGTCTGTGGCGGACAGCCTGTACAACCTGCAGCTGGTGCAGGATTTCTGTGCCTCCCGCCTTCCTCGGGGCTGCCCGCTGTCTCTTGAGGACCTGCTCTATGTCCCACCGCCCCTCAAGGTAAGGCCATCTTGGGGCCCCGTGGGTAAAGGTGGGGGTCCAGGGCTGTGGGGGTCCTGTTGGCTGACCCTGCCTTCCGCCTCCAGATCAACCTGATGGTGCTGCTAGCAGAGATGTTCATGTGCTTTGAGGTGCTGAAACCCGACTTTGTGCAGGTCAAAGATCTGCCTGATGGTCATGGTGAGGCCTGGCCCCAGGTTCCGGGCTAGGGGGCTGGGAGGGGAGGCCAAGCCCTGCCTGACCCTCCCCTCTGTGCTGCAGCCGCCTCCCCGAGGGCCACAGAGGCCTCTCCCCCTCAGAACACCAGCGGCAGCAGGTATGGTTCCCTGATTGGTTTCAGGCTGCGTGGCTGGGACGGGCTCCTCCTCCCGCTGGGACGAGGGCAGAGGGATGCTCTGGTCTCTACTCCCGGGAGAAGAGGGGTGGGAGCCTTTGACTGATGCTCATCTCTTGGCAGTTCTCCTGTCTTCAACTTCCGCCACCCACTTCTGTCACCCGGCGGCCCCCAGTCCCCACTCCGTGGATCCACAGGTGAGGGCAGGGAGATGGCTTCTCACTGGAGACCCCCACCCAAAGACTGCCCCAGCTGACCTCTTGCTGTCTCTCATGAGTCCTCCATTGGGTCCCGCTGGCACCTGAATGACTCCTTGGTGATACTCATTGACCCCCACAGTGACCTCCCCAGTGGCTCAACAGAACCCCCTAGTGACACCAAATGGCCCCCAGCTATCCATTCACATAATGACCCATCAGTGACTTACCCAGTGACACCCCATGGCTGACCCCACCCAGGGTCCCCAGTGACCCCATAGTGGCCACTGCCTGACTACTCCCCACCCACCCCTAGGCTCACTGAAGTCCTCCCCGTCCATGTCCCACATGGAGGCCCTCGGGAAGGCCTGGAACCGTCAGCTAAGGTGAGCACCTCGCAGGGGCCCGGGTGTTGGAGCAGGTGGGGTTAGGGTGGGATTCAGCTTGTCCCAGGGGCTGACCCCTCCCTCCGGCCGCCCAGCCGTCCCCTTTCCCAGGCTGTGTCGTTCAGCACCCCCTTTGGCCTGGACAGCGACGTGGATGTTGTCATGGGAGACCCTGTCCTGCTCCGCTCGGTCAGCTCAGACAGCCTGGGCCCCCCACGCTCCGTGCCAGCCCGGACCCCTGCCCAGCCATCCCCGGAGACTGGTGACCTGCCCACCATTGAGGAGGCCCTGCAGATCATCCACAGTGCCGAGCCCCGGCTGCTCCCGGATGGGGCTGCTGACGGCAGCTTCTACCTCCACTCCCCTGAGGGGTCCTCCAAACTGCCGCTGGCTTCCCCCTACCCACCCGAGGGATCCTCAAAACCACTGCCTGATGGGCCCACCAAAGCATCTGCTTACTTGCCCTACCCTGAGGGCCCCTCAAAGCCATCTCCCTGCCTGGCGGGGGAGGTATCAAAACCTCCAGCCCTGTCTGAGGGCTCCCCGAAAGCAGCGGCTTCGTCCCCCGCAGCCAGCAACTCTGAAGTGAAGATGACCAGCTTTGCTGAACGCAAGAAGCAGCTAGTGAAGGCCGAGGCTGAGGCAGGGTCTCCGGCAGCCACTCCAGTGGCACCAGAGGCCCTGAGCTCGGAGATGAGTGAGCTTGGAGCCCGACTGGAGGAGAAACGCCGGGCCATAGAGGCTCAGAAGCGACGGATTGAGGCCATCTTTGCCAAGCACCGCCAGCGACTGGGCAAAAACGCTTTCCTGCAGGTGCAGCCACGGGAGGCCGGCGGGGAGGCGGAGGCTGAGCCAGGCCTGGCTCCTGGTGGGGAGCGGCCGGCGGGTGAGGGCCAGGGTGAGCCGTCCCCACGGCCGAAGGCAGTGACCTTCTCGCCTGAACTGGGCCCGGTGCCCCCCGAAGGGCTGGGGGACTATAACCGGGCAGTCAGCAAGCTGAGTGCAGCGCTGAGCTCACTGCAACGGGACATGCAGAGGCTCACGGACCAGCAGCAGCGGCTCCTGGCCCCACCCGAGGCCTCAGGGCCTGCTCCGCCTCCCGCTGCGTGGGTCATCCCCGGTCCCACATCGGGTCCCAAAGCCGCGTCCCCCAGCCCCGCCCGGCGCACCCCAGCCACCCGGCGCAGCCCCGGGCCTGGCCCCAGCCCAACACCCCGTAGCCCGAAACATGCACGGCCAGCGGAATTGCGGCTGGCGCCCCTGACGAGGGTGCTCACGCCTCCCCACGATGTGGACAGCCTCCCCCACTTGCGCAAGTTCTCGCCGAGCCAGGTGCCTGTGCAGACACGCTCCTCTATCCTCCTGGCTGAGGGGCCGCCTCCCGAGGAGCCCGCAGCCCGGCCTGGCCTCATCGAGATCCCGCTGGGCAGCCTGGAAGAGCCCACAGCTGAGGACGAGGGGGACGGGAGCCCCCCTGGTGCTGAGGATTCCTTAGAAGAAGAAGCATCTTCAGAGGGAGAGCCCAGAGCTGGGCTGGGATTCTTCTACAAGGTGAGAGTCACCTGAGCAGGTGGGGGAGGGGTCAGGTGGGTAGATGGGTGGATGGTCAGGGAGGGGGAGGTGTGTGGACAGCTGGTCACCTGGATAGGACTTTTCCAATGGATGGACAAATGGAGCTGGTGGAGGAGCCACAGGTGGACAGGTAATTAGCCGGGTGGGAGTGGGCAGACAGATAAGGTGTGTGTGGCCAGATGGACACATAGATGGGGTGGGTGGATAGAGGGAGAATGGGTGGGTAGACAGATGGACAGGGGTGGACAGATAGATGGGAGAGTGACAGCCAGGTGGACAGGAGTGAGCAGATGGACAAACGGGGCTAGGGTCCTCCAGGGTATCCCCTCCCTCCTGCTCTCTCCTTCACCGTCCTCCCCTGACCCACCCCACCAGCATGGCCCCACCAGTCCCCCTTCCTGACTCTCCCATGTTCCATCACTCTTCTCCCTCCTCTGGGCACTCCTAGCTTGGCCACCACCCCACCACCTCTTACCTGGACACCTGCAATCCTGTCCTTGATTGGTCTCCACCGCCCACCCCTCACCACACCAATCCCTGGCCATTTCCAACTGAACAGTTAGCAAGATTTTTTTTAAAAAAATGCAAATTGGGGTGGGGAGATGGTATAGCTCAGTGGTAGAGTGCATGCTTAGCAAGCACGAAGTCCTGGTTTTGATCCCCAGTACTGTTAAAATATAAATGCAAAATTCCCTCCTCCGCCAAACTTTTTAATGTAAATTAGACCTTGTCCTTCCCCTACTTAAAACACTTCTGTACCTCCTCTTGGCTCTTAGAATAAAAGTCCTTCCCGTGGCCTTAGGCTCAGCTCACCTCTGACCTCATCCTATGCTGTCATCCCAGCCACACTGGCTTCCCTGCTGTTCTACACCGCCAGGCTTGTTCGGGCCTCAGGGCCTTTGCACTTGCTGTTCCCCTGCCCAGAATGCTCTCCTCACCACTCACCCCAACCCTGTTCAGTTCTTCTCTTCATTCTCCAAGTTTGCTTCCTCCAGGAAGCCTCCCTTGGTGTCCCTAGGCTAGGATAGGTCTCTGCCCATGGTGTAAGCTGATCACAGCTTTTGCTAGTGTTCACCACTGTTGGTGTGATATGTGATCATCTTCTCCACTGGGTTAAGTGTTTTGTGTGCCCAGAACCCAGCATGGGGCTATGCACAAAGCAAGTGCTAACCAAATGCCTTCAGATCGATTACAAAAACTAAAGGATAGGTGAGTGGCTGGCAGGCTGGGTCAACAGAAGATCAGACTCCAGCTGAACCAGTGGAGGGACAGCTGGACTTGGTGCCTGCCCCCAGGATGAAGACAAGCCCGAAGACGAGATGGCCCAGAAACGGGCTAGCCTGCTGGAGCGGCAGCAGCGGCGGGCGGAGGAGGCACGGCGGCGGAAGCAGTGGCAGGAGGCCGAGAGGGAGCAGCGGAGGGAGGAGGCGGCGAGGTGAGGCCAGGCCCAGTCTGGGGACCCCTGCCAACAGCGACCCTGTGACCTATCTGACTGCTTCAATCCTCTTGCTCTGCAGACTGGCCCAGGAGGAGGCGGCCCCCAGCCCCCCAGCCCCTGCAGCTCCGACGGCCCCTGCAGCAACCCCAGCCCCTGCTGCCCGCACCTCGGCAGAGG